GGGACAGCACAGGGACTCTGTCCCAGGGCGCATACAGCCTGCGGGACAGCACAGGGACTCTGTCCCAGGTTGCATACGGCCTGTGGGACAGCACAGGGACTCTTTCTCTCAGGTTGCATACGGCCTGCGGGACAGCACAGGGACTCCTTCTCCGAGGTCGCACACATATGGCCTGCGGGATAGCACAGGGACTCTTTCTCTCAGGTCCCATACGGCCTGTGGGACAGCTCAGGGACTTTTTCTCTCTGCTTGTAGCGGGGATCCTCCTGCCTTACCGAGCTCCTTGCAGTTGGCAGAGCGCGCTGCTTCTCCTCCTGATCACTGCTGAGGATGGCACAAGATCAGAGGTGCAGAGGGGAGCCAGACAGCACGCTCAGATGCCTGGCCCTCTGCCAGAGAGCACGCTCAGACCACCCGCTGCCTCCTTCCCAGCCCACCCTGGACCTCTGGCCAGTCGAGGGTCTCTTTGCTCCTATACCCTCAGCACCTGCTGCACACACACGTTAAACCTTCACTGAATCACCCTGCATCTCCCTAAATGCACCCACCAGTTGGTCCTGAGTCCCCTCCAGGCAGGGACCACATTTCCCATTTCCCGCAGCCTCTGGCCCACTATCACACACCCAGCGGATGCACCGTGGTTATGTTTAAACTACCTGATAGCTTGAAGCTCTCCAGCTTTACCCCTGCGGCTCTATGCCAGTGAACGCTGATTCATCCTTCCCCTTGGCCAAGGCTCTAAAGGAAATTAGAAGGTTTTACCCCAAGTCTCACAGATAGAAAGAAGTAACACTGGAAGGCTGACTTTTGGGAGAGCGGAGAGGGGGAGATTTACATCTGTAGAGAATGCAGCCGAGTCTCTCCTGTCTCAAGCTAGAAGAGATTAACTGACAGCCTGACACGTTTAAGGTCTGAACGGAAATGCTTACCATCCGCTCTCTGTAGCAGCCACCACCTCTCAGCTTTCGTGTACTTAACAAGACCATGCTGGCCACTCAGGCCTATTCCTTTTTCTGTCCCAAAACCTTTTTTTTTTTTTTTTGCTGTCAAGCCCCCGTTCTTTAAAAACCTCTGTACCTCACTGAAGAGCTGAGTCTTCGTTTTCTGAGAGTTCCCAAGTATGTATGTTGAAATAAATTTGTATAGCTTTTCCCTTATTTTTTAATTATTATTATTATTTTTGAGACTCGCCCTTGGTAGAGTGACATGGTGTCATCATAGCTCACAGCAACCTCAAACTCTTGGGCTCAAGGGACCCTCTTGCCTCAGCCTCCTGTGTAGCTGGGACTACAGGCACCCACCACAACACGTGGCTGATTTTTCTATTTTTAGTAGTGGGGAGGGTCTCACTCTTGCTTAGGCTGGTCTCCAACTCCTGACCTTATGCAATCCGCCTGTCTCAGGCTGCCAGAGTGCTGGGATTACAGACATGAGTGACTGTGCCTGGCCGGTGTAGCCTTTCCTTATTAATCTGTTTTTATTATGAGTTGATTTTTTCAGTGAAACTTCTCAGGCCAAAGGAGTTTTCCTTCACCCTGACAACAGCACGTCTTCTTGTGCCTTCAACCCACATCCATGGGCAGCTTGGTGGGAGGTCTCGACCCTGGCACAGACAAGCACACTCAGGAAGCTTATCACCTCATAAACTAGGCCTTCTGCATCAGAATTAGATACACATATTTTATATTAAATATCTGTTGAATATGAGCCAGGAGCTGGGTCCCAGTGAATATCTCTGAAGGACAGTGATGTGTTCGCAATCTATCAGTGAACAGGCTCCGTCTGTGCTGCAGACACTGTGAAGGCTCAGCTCCGACTGCTGCCGTGGGCTTGTATAAGCCCAGAGATGCCCCCTTCCCAATCCCCAGAACCTGTGAGTATGTTACACCACATCGCAAAGAGGCTTTGCAGATGTGCTTAAGTGTGTGGTCTTTACAGAGGGAGGTGATTCTGGATTATCCAGGTGGGCTCTCTGGAATCCCACAGGTCCTTCTCTGACAGAGGCAGGACAGTCCGAGGAAGCTCAGGAGGTCAGGGAAGCAAAGGTTGGAGGAGACACAGGGTGGGAGGTTTGGAGATGCTAAATTGTTGGTTGTGAAGATGGGAGAAGGGGCAGAGAGCCAAGGGAAGTGGTCCACTTTGGGATCTAGAAAAAGCAGGGGAAACAGATTCTCCCTGGAGTTTACACAAAGCACTGCTGGCAGTTTGATTTTAGAACAGTGAGGTATCCCCACGCCAGTCAGTTTGAGTCAATTTGTTACAGCAGAGATGGGAAACTCCTGCTCAGGGATGGAGAGATTCTTGTGTTAGTGAACGGGGCAATACGGCCTTGTACTTACACTTGGGGTCACACACTCTCCTTCCAATGTCTTGACATGGGGTGTGGGCTTTTAAGTTCCATGGGGATCACAACAGAAATGGCCCTACTGGCCTTCTCCCTATCAACTTCCTGTGATGCTGGGAGGCCCTATGTATCCCAGAGCAGGAGGGGAAGAGAAAAGCTCTAAGATCAGGGAGAGTGGAGAGTGGATGAGCTGGGAGGCCGGCACTCATGGACGCCCACGCTGCTCACGGACACCCACGCCCGCCGCTCACCTTTGTAGATCCCGTTACTCCCGCCGTGGACGTCCCCTTTCATATTCACTTCTTCCACATGTGCGCCGTGGTCCGACGTGAAGTAGACCAGGGTGTTATTGGTCAAACCCAGCTCATCTAGGATGTTCAAGACCTGCCCTGCAGAGGGGAGAAAGACTCGATTTTAAAACTCTGAATCTTCACAAGGGGGACTGGTTGGCTGGCCTCCCTGGTGGGCTGGACAGGTGCTTGTGTCCAGGGGCTGGTTCCCTGCTGATCCCTCAGGGAGAAGATTCAGTCCATGGTGTCAGTGTCACGTAGGGGAATCTGGGTATCAGGACGTCACTCAGCTGGGAGGCCCAACAAAGCATTGCCAATAAACAATCACCGTTCCCCTTGTGTGAAGAAACCTTTCTAGAAATATTTAACAAATGTCTTCCTTTAATGTGTCCCGTACATACCCAAGACTGTCACAGACATTTATGCTCCTCCCCTTGCCTTGCTGTGTCCTCACCTTTTCCCCCAAACCAACATCAAAAATCACCCCCATACAGCAACCCTTCAAAATAATGATGACAATGACACTTGCTGCCATCGATGAGGGCTCTTCATACCCAAGGGGCTTTATTACATGTTCTTATTCAGCCCCACTGAACCCTCCAAGTACGCAGCACTGGCCCCATCAGACCGATAATCGCAAGCACGCTGTGAAAAGATGAATAACCGTTCAACTTCACAGGTGGGAAGTGGGAAGCAGAAAGTGGAGGTAGTGACCCTAAATCATCCATTACGGTTAGTATGGAGAAGAGGGTGAACACGGCCTCCATGCAGGAAGCTCTTGCCAGCTCTGCTCTCACATCAGAGAAAAACCAATATATAACGCCCAGTTTCCACGGGGATATGCGTGCTGCTGGGCTCTGTGCTCAAACAAGTACATTTGTGAATACAGCTACACTTTGGTGGCTGTCTCACCCCACACTTTCTTTTGAGATAGAATCTCATTCTGTCACCCAGGCTAAAGTGCAGTGTGTCAGCTTAGCTCATGACAACCTCAAAGTCCTGGGCTAAGATGATCCTCCTGTCTCAGCCTCCTGAGTAGCTGGGAGTACAGGTACCCACCAGGATGCCTGAACAATTTTTCTATTTTTAGTAGAGAGAGCATGTTGCTCTTGCTCCGGCTGGTCTTGAACTCTTGAGCTCAAGCAATCCACCCACCTCAGTCTCCCAGAGTGCTGGGATTATAGGTGTGAGCTGCCTTGCCTGGCTGCATTTTGATGGTTTTCAGCCTCACTCTCCCTCTCCCGCTGTGCTGCCTGAGCTGATCAGGAATCCTGGCTCTCCTTCCTCCACTGCTGGAGGAAGGCTGGGATGAGCACACCCCTGCCTGAACCTGGGACACCTTGATTTGAGCCGCCACTGTGGGGGTCTGCAAAGCAGAATCAGTCTCTTTTCCCTGATGTCTCAAGCTATTCCTTGATCAGCTTAGGAACTGTCCTGCATTCCCCTGGAAACCCTCCTTCAATGCCCGTTTGGAGCCAAGAAACTGGAACCCTGGCTTGGCCATCTTCCCTGTCTTCCTATATTGCCCGTATTCATTGATGGTGGCTTAATCTCAAGACCAGGTAAACATGTAAACCCACTGACCCATGTAGTAATTGCAGACACTGAGTATTATGGAAAGGAGATATTCTTAGATTGATGGTAAGTAACAAGGAAATAAGTGAAATAATGTGAAAATTGCAGGGGAATTCGCAGATGGGGTTAAATTGGTATGGATAACTGGGGTCTATAGGGTTAGATGCTCACATCTTCTTGCTGTGGGTGTGCCGTGCCAATGGCCTCAACATGGGACCCAATTTTGGGGTGGAGTTCATTTACCCATAAGAGGTGACCACAACTGCTATTCTACAAGGACACCAGGTATGCTCTGTGACAGAAATAAGAAATATGGAATACAGAATATACCGTACCCAGCAGGTAGGTCATGACCTCAGGAGACAGGCTCTCCACTCTGGTGCACCCTCACCTCGTTGGCCCAGAGTAAGGGGAGAAGGAACATGGAGTCAGCTGTTTATGGGGGTGGCAGAGATGATTTCTGACGTTGAAACGACACCCAAATCATTTGTTACAAGACATATTTCTGCCATTGACTGCAAATGCCACAGGCCGAAGTGTGCTCAATCTTTCTCAATTTTTAACTGAGTGATAAACATTTGTAGAACCCACACTGTATACATAAATGTCATCCTCAGAACCAAGCAATAAGACACCCGAGGGCCACTTTAGCAATTTGTGCCCCATGATAAATCATTAACAGGCAGACATTTATGGCGGTGTTATCCGGTAGAGCCAAACAGACCACCTGGGTGCTGGGGCTTGGGGTTATTTGGCTGCAACACTAATTTAAGCCTTATTACTTTGAAAATGGTAATTAGCTTAATGAGTTGAAATAGAAGAAAACGATCAGGCAATGTAACCCCCGCTTATACTGTGAAGGAAAAATGCCCCGTTCTGTTCACACAGCAACATGTAAAACAGCACAGATGAGGAAGGGCAGTGGAGGGAGGCGTCTGCTGCCCTCCACGTCAGCTCCTATAAAGCAAAGTCCACGCAGTGGTGACCTTCATTTCAGGTAGAAGTCATCTTTCACACATGCCAGGGAGCCTCAGCACAAAGAAAGTGCTGTGAAGAAATGTGGAATCAAAATGGGGCTTCCCAACCCAAGTGCCCATCAGTCTATGGAAGGATTAACAAGCTGTGGTGTATGTACACCATGGAGGACTATTCAGTGATAACAAAGAAACACCATGGAGGACTATTCAGCCATAACAAAGACACAACCATGGAGCACTATTCAGCCATCACAAAGACACACCATGGAGGACTATTCAGCCATCACAGAGACACACCATGGAAAAGACACACCATGGAGCACTATTCAGCCATTACAAAGACACACCAAGGGCGACTATTCAGTCATAACACAGACACACCATGGAGCACTATTCAGCCATCACAAAGACACACCATGGAGGACTATTCAGCCATCACAGAGACAAACCATGGAGGACTATTCAGCCATCACAAAGACACACCAAGGAGGACTATTCAGCCATCACAGAGACAAACCATGGAGGACTATTCAGCCATCACAAAGACACACCATGGAGGACTATTCAGCCATAACAAAGACACACCATGGAGGACTATTCAGTGATAACAAAGACACACCAAGGAGGACCATTCAGCCATAACAAGGACACACCATGGAGGACTATTCAGTCATCACAAAGACACACCATGGAGGAGTATTCAGCCATCACAAAGACACACCATGGAGGACTATTCAGCCATAACAAAGACATACCATGGAGGACTATTCAGTCATAACAAAGACACACCATGGAGGACTATTCAGCCATAACAAAGACACACCATGGAGGACTGTTCAGCTATTACAAAGACACACCACGGAGGACTCTTCAGCCTTAACAAGGACACACCATGGAGCACTATTCAGCCATAACAAAGACAGAGACTTTACATGTTTTGTGTTAACTTGAATGGGGCTGAAACACATTCTTAGTAAAGTATCACGAGAACAGAAAAGCAAGTATCCAACACACTCAATACCCATATGAAACCAAAAGATAAACAACTGACATGCCCACATGAAAGCAAAACACAAGTAGGAGAGGAGGAAGAGGGGAGGGGGAGGCGGGAGGGTGATTGGCCGAGTCTCACCAAATGTGCACAATGTGAGGGTGTTCAGGACACCCGCTGGGGGAAGGACTCAACTACAACTTCAACTTGACCTTAGGATTGAAAACAATGAAGCCTAAACATTCGTACTCTCATATTAATCTGAAATTAAAAAGCAGCAAAACAAGAGTTAGATGGAGCTCATTGGCCTGATTTGATATGGTATCCATATTGTCTCAATTATAACAAGTATTCTATCCTATGTAACTCCTGAATAAGTAAGAAAAGTGTGTGTAGGGAGAGAGACTTATATGAAAACTCTGCACTTTCTACTCAACTTTTCTGTAAACATCAAACTACTAAAAAATAGTCCATTAATTTCAAAAATGCCTTTTGGATGCAATGTTGGACTCCAAGCTTCCTCATTCACTCATTCAACATGTGTTTTCGAAGCTCCCCCTCCCCTTCCACAGGCTGTGTTCCAATGGCTAGGGTCTCAGAGTTCCAGGGACACCTTTTTTTTTTTTTTAGTACTTGAAGTACTTTAATTTCAAAAGCAAATTCCTATGCCCAAAGTCAGAGCCTGCTCCTTCACACGGACAGTTTCTCCTTTAGGTTATTTCTATCTCCACACAAATTTACAGCTGTGTTTATTACACAGATTCTTTCAACTAAAATATCCTGTATCCATCCATATCTGAACACTCTTCCCTAAATATTTCCTCAAATCTCAGTATTTCAAAGGACCACAATCAGATATTTAACATGTCCCCAGGAAAGTTTCTTCTTCAATGCCCAGAGGGATAATTTTCTGTAAAGGTGCCCTGCACACCCAACCCGGCGGGACTAACAACAGAGGAGCAGTTGAGGCCATCAAATGGGTAGGAATGGTGCGACGTTTGGCCCAATCTGCTGAAAAATGGTCAGATTTCTGACTTCCTTTTAGCCCTTTCTTCCTGAAAGCCATACTCTGCACCCCATACTAGTTAGATCTTCAGCCAGAACCTCATTTGTAAAGCCCAGAGTCCATTAAACATTTAATTTTTCATAAGATTGATCTTACAAAGGTCTAACATATTTCTCTCCTAAGAGTTCTGAACGGAAATCTCCCAGGGGAACAGATGCTGATGTATTATTTTTGCTTTCAGAGCAATATATTGCAAGTCAGAGGTCTGCAAATATTATTTTTCAGTCAGATTCTCCAGGTATAATGATACCAATTTGGAGAGAATGATAGTTTTGAATTACTGGTGGTGGGCTGCAGGCTGGCTTATAAATGAAATGTTCTATTTTCAAAGCGTCCTCACTTTGTTTCCCGAATGAAACAAGCAGGGAAAATAAGCCATTTCAAGAGCACTTTGTTATTTAACTGGAGACCACATTTGAAAGGCAAAGTGAGGGCTTCTCTTAGAATTCTCATAATTCTAAGGATGGAAACTTGGAAACGGGGAAATCTG